GTTCCAATTTCCATAAGGGTGTCTCCTGCATTTCCTAAGGTTCTTATAGTTTGAGGTTTTATGTTTAGGTCTTTGATCCATCTAGTTGTGTATGGTGATAGGTAGGGGTCCTGTTTCAATCTTCTGCATGTGGTCAGCCAGTTTTCCCAGTGCCATGTACTGAGTGGGTTCTCCTCTTCCCAGTGGTTGTTGGTGGAGACTTTGTCGAAGATGAGTTGATTGAGAAATTGAAGTTTTACTTCCAGAATCTCTATCCTGTTCCATTGGTCCATATGCCTATTCTTGTACCAGTACCAAGTTGTTTTGATTATTGTAGCCTTATAATAGAGTTTAAAGTCTGGAAGGGTGAATCTCCCACTTTGTTTCTTTTGCTGAGTATTGTTTTGGCAATTTGTGACTGTTTATGTTTCCATATGAATTTCTGTATTGTTGTTTCCAGGTCTGAGAAGAATAATGTTGGTAATTTAATGGGTATTGTGTTGAATCCGTAGATTGCCTTTGGTAGGATGGACATCTTAACCATGTTGATTCTTCCTATCCATGAGCACGGGATATTTTCCACTTGTTTGTGTTTGGATTTCATTGAGCAGTGTTTTGTAGTTTGTTGTAAAGGCCTTTCACTTCTTTGGGTAGGAAGATGCCAAGATTTTTGTTTTGTTTTTGTGGCTGTTGTGAATAGGTTTGTGCTTTTTTATTTGGTTCTCTGCCTACTTGTTGTTGGTATATAAGAATGCAGCTGTGTTTTGTGCATCTATCCTGAGACTTTGCCAAAGCCCTTTATCAGTGAAAGCAGGTTTTTGACAGATTCTCTTGGATTTTCCAGGTATAGGATTATATCATCACCAAAGAGGTGTAACTTAACTTCCTCTTTTCCTATTTCGATACCCCTGATTTCCTTCTCTTGTCTAATTGCTCTTGATAGGACTTCCAACACAGTGTTGAACAAGAAAGGTGAGAGTAGGCAGCCTTGTCTTGTTCTGGTTTTCTGGGGAAATGTTTCCAGTTTCTGCCAACTTATTAATATGCTGGCTGTGGGTTTTATTGTAGATGGCACTGACTGTTTTGAGGTATGTATCTTCTATACTTAGGTTTTGGGGGTTTTTTATCAAGAAGGGATGCTGGGTTTTATCCAAAGCTTTTTCTGCATCTAATATAATTATGTGGTTCTTGTTTTGACATCTGTTGATGTATTTAATTGCATTTATGGTCTTGCAGATGTTGAACTAACCCTCCATACTGGGGATGAAGCCTACTTGGTCATGATAGATGATTTTTTGGGATGTGTTGTTGGATCTGATTTGCTAGAATCTTGCGGAGAATTTTTTCATCTATGTACATTAGGGATATTGGCCTGTAGTTCTCTTTTTTTTTGTTGGATCTTTACCTGGTTTGGGTATCAGTGTGATGTTAGCTTCATAACATGATTTGGGGAAAATTTCATCTTTCTCAATTGCCTGGAATACTTTCAATAGGGTTGGTATCCACTCCTCCTTGTACATTTTATAGAATTCCTATGGAAAGCTGTCTGGTCTAGGGCTTTTTTTTTGTAGGTTGTTTTCTTACATTAGAGATAATTTCCTGGGTTGTTATTGGTCTGTTTAGTGTCTCAGTGTCTTCTTGTTTCAACCTTGGGAGGTTGTATGATGTCAGGAAGTTCTCCATTTCTTTTAGGTTATCAAGTTTGTTTCCATACAGGTGTACAGAGTAATCTCTGATAATGTTTTGTATTTTTTAGGGATCAATTGTAATTTGATTTTTTGCATTTCTGATTGTGATTATTTGGGCTTTCTCTCTCTTTTTCTCGGTCATTCTGGCCAGGGGTCCATCAATCTTGTTTATTCGTTCAAAGAACCAACTTTTTGCTTTGCTGATTTTTTTCTTTGGTCTTTTTGTTTTCTGTGTCCCCTACTTGGGCTTTTACTTTGGTGATCTGGATTCTTCTGCAAAAGTTAGGGTTTTGTCTTTTCAGCTGTCTTTCCAGCTCCCTTAGATGATTTGTTAGGCTGTTAACTTGTGATCTTTCCATTTTTTTTGATCTGTGTTCATAGATATCTAAATTCCCCCCTTAGAGCTGATTTCATGGCATCTCAGGTTTTGGTAGGACATTTCTTCACTTTCATTTGCTTCCATGAATTTTTTATTTTCTATTTTGATTTCTATGTTGACCCAGTAGTCATTCAGCATCATGCAATTTAATATCCATGCCTTTGTGGGCTTGGGGGGAATTTTGTTGGTGTTGATATTTATTTGTATTCCACTGTGGTCTGAGAAGGTGCATGACAGTATTTCCATCTTATGAAATTTGTTTATGCTTGATTTTTGACCGAGAAATTGATTGATCTTGGAGTATGTTCCATGTGGTGATGAATAGATACATATTCTGTGGTTGTTGGGTGGAGTATTCTGTAGGTATCTATTAAGTCCATTTGGTTGAGTGTCAAGTTGAGGTTCTGGATCTCTTTGTTGTTTCTTTTGCCTCAGTGATCTATCTAGTGGGGGTATTGAAGTCCCTAGCTATAATAGTGTTAGAGTCAATATCTTTTTTTAAGTTTACTTAGCAGTTGCTTTATAAACACTGGTGTTCTTGTGTTGGGTGCATATGTGTTCAGGATGGATGTTTCTTGTTGATGAATTGAACCTTTCATCATCACATAGTATCCTTCCGTAGCTTTTTAAATTTTTGATAGCTTAAATATTGTTTTGCCTGATATTAAGATGACGACTCCTGCCTTTTTTTGTGATCCATTTATCCAGCAACTTTTGACCAATATTTTTCCTTCTCCTACTTTTAAAAGTACGGGTTATTAATGAGGCACCACTGAAAAGCAGTTGCTCTCTGGGCAGTTAAACACTACCGTTAGCAAGTGTCTAGTACTACTCATCACTTCTGCATGAGCTTGTCGAAAGGTTGTACGTTTTTACCCAACTTGTCTTTGATCGATTTTTCAGAAATGAACTGAGTTGTAAGGTAGCATTCTAAACCTTGTATTCATGGACTGGCAGCATCGGCATCACCTGGCAGTTTGTTTAGGAATGCAGAAACTCAGGCCATACCTTAGACCTACAGGAGCAAAATCTCCATTTTAACAAGATGCCCAGGTGACAGTAACATGTTAAAGGTAGTAAAGCACTGATCTAAAACAGTCTTGGTGGACATGAAATTACTTTGTTTTTTCTGTTTTCTTTCAGGTCTTTGTTGAGTATGCAAATGCTGGTGATTCCAAAGCTGCTCAGAAATTACTGACTGGAAGGATGTTTGATGGGAAGTTTGTTGTGGCTACATTCTACCCGCTGAGTGCCTACAAGAGGGGATATCTGTATCAAACCCTTGCTTTAATCAGTAACCTGAGGACTATTTCCTGTATCTCCTCTTCCATTTTCCTGGGTTATTGTATTCCACATCTGAATGCAGGAGTACCCCCTTACTGTTTTAAGGGGATACTTTGTACATTTATTTAATCCTACTAACGTGTAGCCATTGCCCAGGCAGTGACTGCATTGCAAGCATTTGGCACTGAGTAGGACAAGACCTCTCAGCTATACATTGAGGGGTTTTAGAGCATCCATGTGGGCAGCCTTTTTTTGTGCAGTAGGGCAAGTGCTGCTCCTCAGTATGTAACCTAAAAGATATTATTTCATGTGATCATGAAGCAAGGATGAATAATAATGAATAATATCATGGTGTAGTGAATATTATTAACAAATTTGCTAGGGTTGGTGACTTCACTTATAGATTATTCCTTTATGTTGTCAGGTGGTTCCTTTATTGTTGATCTCTATAACTGGCACTGGATGCTCTCAGTAGTGTTAGGTAATTGTCAAGCAGCGGTTACCTACTGTGTTCTTAACACTGAGTTGTGAATTTTTTTAAAGGAGTACTGTAGTACTGAATATTCCTTTAAAGAAACTGCAGTGAGCCTATCTACATTTTTTTATTCAGGCTTTTAAAATAGAAAGCTATTGCTTGATCTTGCACAATTTTTATGTCTAGTGTGTATGCTTGAGTGAGTGTGCAGGTGTGAAAGATCAGAGAAAATTTGAGTCAGTGTACTTTATAGTGTGAACCTTGTGAGCTAATACAGTCTACCATCTTTTCCCTACCTATTTCACATCTATAAGATTTGGGATGTATGTTTTTTGAGAGTTGTCTGTTAGAATGTAATTGACAACATAGTTCATTCCTGAAATGTTCAGAACAAACTGGAGTCTAGCCTGGGGTTACCTTGAAACGCTTTAAGTGATTGGAACAAAGGAAAAGTTTTGCTACACATGAATCAACCCATCCTTCAATCTGCTGTATTGGCTCATCCTTTTTGTACGAAATCTCCTATAATTGTAAGATTTCTCAAGATGTGGCTCTGTCTACTATGATGGAAAATTGCAGTTGATCAAAAAGAAAAAATTAGTTGTACAGTGAAAGAAAAATTTTAAAAATAGGTAAAGAGAGGATGGAAAGTCAAGGATTCTTTTTCTTTTCCTTTCTGTCTCTCTCGTCCCTGTCCCCTTTTCCTCCTCTTCCCTTATTCCCTGCCTCCGTTCTTAGCTGAAGAAGAGCTAGGTAATCTGACTTTTGACTACATGGGAGTTAAGAAAGGTATAGGTATAAGAAGGTGGAAGTAGAAAGGAAGAAAAACTCAAATAATTCTTAAAGAAGTCATAGCAGTTGATTTTGTTCCCAAGTAGTGGATGCCAGTATGCATGAATTCATGGACACAGGTTGATTACATGGTTTTCAGAATTGTAATTATGGATTTTTCTCATTTTATGGTAGATTGTCTTTAAAGGTCTTAAAAATTAGGAAACCTTTATAAAGCATTGATATACCAAAAAAAAAAAAAAAAAAAAAAGACAAGTTATATACAGGTTATGAATTTTTTTCTTGTTTCCTTACCTGAATGAAATTCTTATTTATAATTTTTTTCCTAAGGAAAAAGTCTTTTATATCTTTCCCTGCTGGAAGCCTCCTCATATTTCCTTAATGTGTGCCATGCAGGTTGCTGAGGGTCCAATTAGAATTTTACATTTTAGAGTATGAGTTCTTTTACCTTATTCAAACAATCAACTATTTGACATTTTAGTTATTTATAGTTATCAAATTATTCAGGACTCTCTTTTCATTGTTATTATGAAGCCAAGTTTGGCATAAGGAGGCTAATTTATGAATTACCAAAGGGTCTTGTGCCCCAATACGTGTCCTTAGAAGGAAGAACTGTAATTCGCATTTTGGCCCTTCCAGAGATTGAGTACAAGTTGATTTGTTATCAAGTCATAATTAAAGGGAGTAGAACCAGTATGAAGGTTTAAGCTTTCCTAAAACATAAATGTTTGTATGGGTAGCAGCTTTTGCGGTTACTAGAAGCATTAGGTTCTTAGATACATACTAATGAACATGAAATACAGTTGAGTTCTTCTTAAGGGCAGGTATTCTAGGTTAGCATGTGTACCTTTCTCTTCCCTCCTCCCCTAAAAGAATAATCCTTATAAACTGCAGGTAGGCTTACAAGCTTAGTCATGCAGTATGCTGCTAACATCAATGCTGAACTTCACAGCATTTTTTGATCATCGTCTTATTGCTGATGTATTCATACATATATTTAATGTTTAACACTGTAGAATTTTATTACAGAAGATGCTAACTAGGTTTTAAAGGAGCTGAGAGAATAATTGATGAGCCTTGAATTAATCATGCGCTGGATTAAATGTTTTATATTAAAGTTATAGAATTGAAAGAAAGCCTCCTATGATTTAAATTGTTATTGTGTAGCTCTTAGCCCATTCTACCAAAGATAACATCAGCAGATTCTCCCTCTTTGCTCTGATAGTATCAGAAGTTTAATCTTAATGTCTTTCTTAAACTTGAACCAAATATTATCAAAAGATGCAATTTTCATGATTCTTTTAGAGTGAAATATATACACAGATATTTGATTTCTTGAAGCTTTTGAAAACCTAGAAATTTTCTTTTTGAGAGGCAGGGTAAAGAACTGAGACTTCATGCCACTTTGCCCCTACCCTTTTGGGCCAATTGTATCTCAGGTAGTTTTTCTTTTCCTGCATTAATACCTGTGCTTTCTTGCCTCTCACCTTCCCAATTACTACTTTGTTTTGTGGTATTGCTGTGGCACATTTTGTCCCAGAAAAGGCACATAAAGTGATTATTTTGTAGAAAATCTTTGGTTCTTTAGAGATGTGTTTGTAGGAGGTGGCTAACTAGCCACTGTCAAAACTATGATACTCTATTTAGAGGAGAAAAACAAGAAGAATCGAACACCTCAGTGAGAGATAGAATTAATAAAAGTAACTATTGGCTGCCTTTTAAAGGAATTTAAAAAAAATTATCCTTTTGCAGTAAGAATCTGCATTTTTTAGCACTGGATGTCTTCCCTTTTTTGTGACCACCAGAATAGCAACTCTCTTTAGAGAAATCCTCTTTCTCTTTCTGCTATGCCTTGAGCCAAAACTATGACTGCTTTTAAAACAAAAACCATCAATACAGTTTTACTCATCCTTCATTAGGAGAACTATTGTCTCCTTTTTGTACTCCAGCTGCTGGAGTGCTGATATATGTTAAATCAACCTTTATAAAAAGTCTGAATTCTTGCTTGCCTTCTAGATTCATGTTACTTACATTATTTTAACTTTTGAGCAAAGTAGTTATAAGAAATGCTGCCAGAAACAATGGTACTGTGCTGAGGAAGTTGAAGAGAAACTATGGGCAGAAGGCTTTTTTCAGTCTTATTATACTGGACTTTCACCCTGGTAAGGGTGTCAGTTACTTTTCTGGAATACATTAAAGGCAGAGTAAGAGCACTTATCAGATGAGAATGGTCACGTGCAGGGTGGTTTGGCTGTAGATGAGAGCACTTATCAGATGCTGTTTTGTGGCTCATTTTAGTTCATTCATCAAATGCAGGGAACTAACATTTTGGCATCATTTTCCTAGGTCTTTCTGACTTTATAAATTATACCTATCTTACATAATTTCTGCTATCAGACTTGGCAGCATGACGTTTTATTTTTTACAATTAATTCCATGAAAATCAACAACATCATAACTGGTAGTAGTTATAGCAGCATAGTTACTGGGTGAGGGAGTGGAGGAGACACCAGTAACCATGTGTTTTACCTAGTTTCTTATGCAAGGGTACTGCTAGGTGGCTTTATCCAGAGTAGGATACAGATGGAATCACATCATGACTTTTAGTCTGATGGATGTAGAGAGTTAAAGATTTAAGCAAGTGCCTTTTGTTTTTGGAAAATACTAAAATGCATTTGGGTAAAAGCTTCCCAGATCATGATAATTAATAGCACCTCTGCCTTCTTATTACAATAACTTTTGGATTGAGTCACATAGTATAAAAGTTCAAAATTTCCTTGGTTTACTTTTTTTTTGGTATATGAAAACTATTCATATTTGATTTTATTCCAATATTACGTATAATGGGAAAGCCAGAGTTATCTGGCAGAGTTTAATTCTTCCTTCCTTCGATCTAGTTCCATGTTTAATTTCAGGTTCCTTCCTCAAATTTTATTACTCTAGCTCTCGGATAAAATTTGTTTCTTGTCAATTGTGGTCACATACAGACCAATCCTTGGTCAGAATTATCTCAAAAGAATTCCCATTTCTTTCTTAAGGTGCTCAATACATCACCTTTACTTTGAGATGGTAGCCTTTCTAGTTAGTATTACTTACTAGCTTTCTCAATGAATTTTTATAAATGTTGTCTCCATCATATGGAACTCATCTGAGCCTCTTGTGATGTATTTGGTAGTTCCATTCTTAATCATAGAAGAACATTGATATTTTAGTTTGGGGAGTGCCCAAAATTTTAAAGATTTTGTTTTGTTTTAGGTTAGCTTCTTCTCTACCTGATGCTACAAGATACGTCATGTTTATTATCCTGACTGCCTCCCCTCAGTGTTTTTTGCTGTTTTTTAAATTGTATCATGACAAGTAGATTCACACAGTAGCATGCAGTTGACAAGTGCTATGGATATCTAAGAGAAAGACAAATAATTGTAACTATTTTTGCTGTAATTTTATAGAAGAAATGGGCTGTAAAAGAAATATCTATAAACCAGAGAGCATTTAGGAAATTTTATATTTTATAGATAGTTATTAAGGTGATGTTCAGGATATAAGATAAATAGTTTACACAAGCTTTGTTTTCCTGATATGAAGTTTTTATTAATTTTCCTACAGCTCAGCACTGTTGTTGTTCCTTGTATTGCTTCTGAGGATTGATGTTTTAAATTTGCTTTATTTGTGCTTTCAAGAGGGTTGTTGTAATCATGGCAGTTAGGTTCCTGGCATCATAAATCCTGGAATTAATGGGAAACTTATCAGATGATTGCCTATGTGTTATTTACTATTAAATTGAGTAGCTGTCACAATAACCAGAAGAAAACTTATGACTCTTTTGACAGCCATGAATGTTTTGTAACCTAGGTTCATAGTGTTTTAATTTAAAGGCAAAGAAAAGCATTCTGTCTTTGTCTTATATGACCATTAATCCTTGTACAGAAGAAAGCTTATTTTGTTATACTACTTTGTGTAATGAAAATAAGTCACGATCTGGGGAAAAAAAACAAAAAAGAAAACTGGAATTGTTCATTTTTAAATTTTTTTGGGGGAACCCATATGTAAAAATCAGAGCTACTTGTTACCACAAGCTCTTTATTGTCAGCAAGATAATTATTTGTAGTCACTTTTTTATCCCAGGTTGGAATTGCCTTCCCCTTCTAAGTTATCATTCCTCTTAATCATATTCATGATATCAGGACACTGAGCGTGTAAAAACAAATGTTGTGAGGTATTCAAAAGTCATGTATATATGGATTCAAAATTTCTTTAGTTATTTGAATTATCTTATAGCTGTATTATTTTATTAGCATGGGCTGTCAGAAGACTGCCAAATGTAAGAGTAAAGAGGAAAAAGATAAGTAATAAAAATAAAGAGGGAAAGAAAATGGCTCCCTTACTGGTATTTGTCATCTTCCATATAGTAATGATCTAACAATGATATTTATTTTTAGAAATCCACGTTTGGTACCTGTGGCATAGAAGCATTGCCTTTCCTATACATTCCTCATTGTTGTTTCCCCAGAAAATTATTCTAAGAGTTTGTGGAACCAGATCAAATATCTATATTCAGTGTGGCCTAATTTTTAAATATTTGTACTCCAGCTTTTGTGTATTTGGTATATATCACTACTCATGCAAATTAAGGATCAGAAAGAAACTGGGGATTAGCAATCTCCATATTTCCCTCTGCACATTGGGGACAGTAGGTGGCATTAGTATGCACTAGCTGCAAAGTTATAGCACCTTATAACTAAGTAGTGTTTATTTATTATAATAAAAAAGTTAAGCTGCATCTCTATAGATTATTTACTTGGCAGAGTGTAAAGCTGTCATATCTTTTCCAGCAGGATTTACTCTTTCATTCTAATTCTTTTTGAAAAATCTTAATAATTTAACATTCCTTTATAACCTTAGCAGTATCAAATCTGAGGTAGAAGGGACTTTATTTTTCCCAAAAATGTCTCCGTCTTTGCTATATCTTGGCGACTCCTAGAAATCCAGTTATGATCAGTAAATTTTAGCAGTTTATGGCATCCTGGAGTGGTTGGTTGTGAATATTAAATCCTAGTACTATCTTCCCTCAGTAACTTGTAATTGCTATGTTTTTGATTAGAAGATATGGCTAGAAAAAATGTGAAAGATCACTTAAACCAAAGCCAGTTACAAGGAGTATTCTCTCCTGTTGGTTTACCTTCACCTCAGAACTACAAGAATATTACAGTACATGGTGAATAGTTGTCTATAACATTTC